GTCTGGAACAGTATACGGTTTCCTGCCCAGGCAGGGGGTTGGACTAGAAGACCTCTAAGGTCCCTTCCAACTCTGCTATTGTATTGTCATTACATGTTTGTTCTGATTAAAACAATCCTATCCTGTTGCTAAAAAAATGAAGCAGTGATTAAATAATGTATTATTTCTAAAGCTCGTCCTATAATTGAAGATATTTTGTTTTTCTATATTATTCTATAATATTGTGTATCTAAAGATGTTGATGATGTTACCTATTCAGTTGTGTCTGACTCTTCACGATTCTATGGGCCAGGTCTCACCACATTTTCCGATCTTGCGCTACTATTTTGAGTTGTTCTGTGCTCTGGCTGGCGTCAGCTTTGATGGTGGTATCTAAAGATTTCCTTCCAAATATTACAGAACTGCACAGTTAATCCTCATGAATCAATAGTGAAAAGAATAGAAAATATGGGTATTATCTTCAAGAACAAATTTGCTGAAGCAGTTGGACAAGGCTGTGCTGAAATTGGATCTCAGGTAGGGTTCTTCAGTAATTCAAAACAAAATCTATTTTTTTCTTAAGTGTTAAATAAATTCTGAACTGGGGAATGCATTGAGTTGGGGAAATCATTGAGTTTAAAGTATTCCTAATCATATAAGTGTTATCATAATTCTTATTAATTCACACCCTTTATATATTTGTGGAACAAAAATATGATGCTGCAAATAAGATGCTGTAAAGCAAGCTGATTTTAACAGCTTAGTTTTTAATATCAGTTCTATTATCAAAACATTGTGTAATCTAGAACTCAAAGAAAACATATTTGTTAGTACAATATAAAAATGAAATAAAAACCAATGTTGCCTATAAATGTATTGGAATGAATGGCATTTGAGGTGCTACAATAATTAGAATTGGAGCACTGCTGAAGATGGCCTGCTGAATGCCTTACTTGCCCTCAGCCTGATATTTATTTTTATTTATTAAATTTATATGCCATCCATCTCACCAATAAAGTGACTGGGTGGCTATCAGTTATTATTGGTTGATCATCTTCACTAAATTCTCTTCTAAAGCAATTAAGAAATGCAAAATGTCTAGAAGAGGTGTTTCAGAACAAGGAGATTGAAACAAACTTGAAAGAGACAAAAAAAAACCCAACTATTGCCATTATTCAAGTGGAAAAGAAAATGAGTCCGAGATGAGGCCTACAGCTTTGGCTGTTTTAGCACTATAGAGTGTAATGTAACATCAAGCATTTAATTAAAGATTTTAAACATGAGAAATTGTTCTGTAAAATAATGTTTAGTATGTCTGAAATAATTAATAAACTGTCTAAAGACTTATCAAATCACAGAAATTGCTCAGATAGCTAGTCAGGCCTATGATTTTAAGTACTAAAATATTTCTAGCATGAAAAAACCTAAGAAACCTATGGATGTTGAAGTGTTTCTGACATAAACTGAAGATCATAACAGACAAAGTAGTATTTGTGAGATAACAATATGAATTGACACCCAGTTTTATATATCTACCAAGGCCCCTTGACCGATGCTATGGATGTCCCATTCCAGTGTCTGGAGGCAGATGGGGATTAGATGGGCTCCAACTCAATTCTAGCAAGATTAGGTAGCTGTGGTATTTGTGTGCTCTGGAGACAAGATTATTCCATTTTTAATTCTGGATGGGTAGCTCCAGATAGATCCAGTGTGTAATATGCATAAGGTCATCCTAGACTCACACTTCCTGCTGGTGGTGACCATGCCTAGAAGAGCTTTTGTATATCTTTGGGTGGTGTACTAGCAGTGCCCATTCCTGAACTGGGAGGCCCTGCTTACTGTTCCCCATGCCCTTGTAACCTCTTATTTAGATAACTGCAATGTGCTGTATGTGGAGCTGCCCCTAACGAGCAATCAGAAACTACAATTGGTGCAGAATACAGCTGAGCAAGTAGTAAACTGTGCTAGATATACAGCATATGAAACATTACTATGTGGGCTGCATTGGTATGTTTCCAGGTGGAATTTAAGGTGCTGGTTGTCAAATTTTATTTATTTAAGAGTCTCTATCTAATTCTCAAATTAATTAACATAGATTTTGCAAAATATCACTAAGATTAATGTTTTAAATACATAATTCCTGCAATGGCTTTGGATACATTCCCATGAAGGGATATCATGCAACTATGAGGCATGTATTTTTTATTATTTGGCGCAGTATAAAAGAGAAAGGGATAAGAGTGAATTTAGCACTTTACTTAAACAAAAGGTTAAAATTCCATGTGATGTATTTCCAAAAGTATGTTATACACCGAAGTATTTTTTTGGCTCATAAGATAAAATATGTTATAAATGTCATGATATTGTGTATGCTTTTTTTGTATAGGCATTGAATTCTGTTTTATAAATTTTTGGCTGATGGCCCTAATAGACTTTCTTAAGTAGTACTGTATAATTAAATAGCCCACAAAAATTGGCAAAAGATTAAATAATTTGCATTCATAACTATGAGCTACGATGGTGCAGTGGTTAGAGTGCAGTACTGCAGGCTACTTCTGATGCCTGCAGGCTGCCTGCAATTTGGCAGTTCAAATCTCACCAGGCTCAAGGTTGACTCAGCCTTCCATCCTTCCGAGGTGGGTAAAATGAGGACCTATATCAGTGATGGCGAACCTTTTTTGCGTCAGATGCCAAAAGCACATGTGCGTGTGCTATTGCTCATGCTTGCATGTCCCCATAATTTAATGCCCGCCGCACCGTGCCCCCTGTGCATGTGCACGTGACACTCCCCGCTGCCCCTTGCATGTGTGCATGGCTTTCTAGAACAGTGTTTTTCAACCTTTTTTGTGCAAAGGCACACTTTTTTCATGAAAAAA